AAAATATTATTATTTATTCCTGTGTTATATTTAAAAAATATTATTTATTATTATAATAATTATTATNTTGGGGGACAACAGACTTTCAGCACTGAGACGCTCGGGACAGGAAAACAGATACGAACATAGCGGCTCCGAAACTCAGCTCGTCACTTTCAGTTTTCAACTTAGCGGCTTCAGCTTAACTTTGCTCAAGACTCCTGCTCAATATACTCAGGGGCTTCGACCTAGCCATTCCTCCAGCGACTCCGGCTTTACATCATTCCCTCAGCGGTATCGTCTTAGTTCATCCGCCCTCTCGTAGTACTGCTGCTTCATCCACTCTTCAAGTCATTTTTATCTCTCCTCTCAGCCAGGCGAAAGGATCCAGGCTGACAAGTTTACTACCTCAAGAGTCATCCCGCATCCAGTGGACGTCAGAACAAAAAAAAAAGATGCATTAGAAAAAATAGTCACAAACCCTTCTTTAAATGTATTGAGAAGAAGAAAACTATAATAAATTTCTATTTATTAAAATACCATCGCCTCACCGAAAAAAAATTAAAAGATACTTTTAATTTTTTGAAACATTAAAGCGCAATTTGTTAAAATGACCTGGAACATTACCAAGAAAACTAAATTACTGGTATAAAAAAAATTTGTTTTTCCTTTTTCCTTAAGCATTTCAAAAAAAAAAATTCCTACTTAAAGTTCAAAATCTCTAAAAGCACCAAGTGGTTTTAAACCTACTTTTAGATCTTTATCACTAAAATCAAATCTGCCCCTAACAATGTGCACCTTGCAAGGAAACAGAAAAGAGGAATCAAATTTGAGCCAAAGAAGTTCAAACTGCACTTAAATTTAAAAACAAACATTACAAATCAGCTCTACTCTTAGCAATACATTTTGAAGCGGACCACAAAGGGTCAGGAAATAATTTATACAGCAACGCTATCAATCTTCAACTTTCTAATTTTAAACATCTAAGCATTCACAATCTACATTTTCAAAATAACATAGAAAAATAAGATGGAACAAACCCAGTTTTGACTGATATGCAATTACAACTGCCAGTGGAGACTAGCAATTTACACTTATGTGCATAAAAGGACTGCGCTCCACCTGCAAAAGAAAACAGTCTACACCGACCTATTACCTTCCAGTCCGTGTAACCAAATATTTACACACTCAAGTATAAACTACTCCGCCACACTTTGGAGAACATCTGACATTCCACCAAAACACTTATAAAACAATTTGAAACAAGAAAAATTTAGTTTAACCCCCCTCTAAACAAAAAATTAATTTCTTACTACCCGTCCATTTACTCGTGGTATTAAGTTGTAACGAGATTGCGGAGAAGGTATGAATTGACCTGTCTCATAAAGTAGACCTCCTGGAGTAGGCGTCTCTACTCTTTCCCTACTTATACTGTCACTGATTTGGTCGCTGAACCCACTATCTCTGGATCGCAACATTTCCAATCTCTGTTCAGCCTTCGTTGCATTTTCCACATGAACAACCCGAGTATAGTCAAAATTTTTGGTATGTTGAATTTTTAAAGTGACAGGGGATATGACTTCAATCACTTTCAAAGGACCCTCATTAAATTTAGAAAATTTCTTGCACTGGTTTTTCTTTAACACAGGGTTGAACCAGTATACCCTATCACCTATCTGGAAATTATATTGTTTGATGTTTTTGTCTCTACGAGCCTTTCTATTTCCCGCAGAATTTTCTAGATTTTCCCTCGCTGAGGTATAAGTACTATGCAATTTACCAAGTAAATCTTTGGCAAAGTCCTCAGCACCTGCATAAGAGAAAGGTTTATGGTTCTCAAGAAATTCCAGCGGTAAAGTTAATTCCCTACCATATGTTAAAAGTGCCGGAGTAAAGCCAGATGACTTCTGAATAGCTGTTCGGTATGCTAGTAATGCAAATGGTAGTTGCGTATCCCAGTCATCATGTGTAGAATTAACTACATGACATAAAAAATTTGCGATGGTTTTATGCTTGATTTCTATAGCACCATTACTTTGGGGGCGATAAGGGATAATTTTAATTTTTTCTATTCCCAAAGATTTATAAATTATTTTCATACAATCACTTATCACGTTAGATCCTCTGTCTGTAATTAAAGTTTTTGGAGAGCCAAAACGAGATATAAAATTTAAAAGTACTATGACAATATCCTTACTGTTGACCGACGAGGCAGGGATAGCTTCTAGCCACTTTGTAAAGTGATCAACAATTGTGACCAAATACCTATTTCCATCCTGAGTTAAAGGGAGTGGTCCTACCACATCACATGCTATCTTCTCAAAAGGGCCATAAGGAGGTGGCACTTTCTGCAAAGGGGCTAATCGCGGGCTGATGAGCTCTTCTTTGTAAACAGCTATTACACGACTTAATGAAGTTCACAATATGGGAAGACATTTTGGGCCAAAAATAATTTTTCTTTATCTTTTTTAAAGTTTTACTAATTCCAGGATGGCAAACCAATGGAGAATTGTGATACAAGTTTAAGATGTCTTTCACTAAATTTAGTGGAATAACTACTTTTTCACTCTCAGCAATTTGGCTTTTCTTACACCTTAATACTTTATCTTTAATAGAAAAATGAAAGTTAGATGGCACTGGTTCATTTTTGCCGAAAGCCTCAACAATTTCTTTGCAAAAAGGACCTTTCTCCTGCTCTTCAATTAATTTTGTCAAGGAACAAATTGCTTCATTACAATCCACTTCATTAAATAAAATTTTGTTATTGATAGTTTCTGCTTCCCCAATATTTCTACTCAGAAAGTCTGCAATACAATTAATCGTTCCCGGTATATATTTTACCTCAAACTGGAATTGTAGAATTGACCACCGCGTAATTCTACAAAAAGAATCCTTCAACTTCAAGGTATTAGCTATGGGGGAATGATCAGTGTAAATATAAAATTTCCTTCCCAGCAAATAGTGTCTAAAGTAATTAGTGAAATACACTATTGCTAAGGTTTCCCGTTCGGTTACCGAATACCTAGTCTCTGGTTGTTTCAGTTTTCTCCTTCCAAAAGCTGTAGGGCGAGGAAAACCCTCATCATCCAGTTGAGCTAACACTGATCCGATAGCATGATTACTGGCATCAGTATATAAGAGAAAAGATTTTGACACGTTGGGTAAAACTAAAACAGGTTTAGAAATTAAGAATTCTTTTAAATTTAAAAATTCATTTCTGCCTGGTTGTCCCATTCAAATTTGCCATTTTTAGTTAAGGCCGTCTGCCGAAGTGATTTTTGACCAATGTTAGGAATAAATTACACAACAAGTTTTCACAATTAGTTTATTACACAGCAATAACTTCTCTTCTTCAAAACTATCAATTTTTCAAAAACTTTCAATTTCACAGGCTTGTGTTATTATATATACCAGGAAGAAAAAAATACTAGCGAAATCTGTTGGACTATTGTTAGTGATGCAAAGTATTAAAACCCAATTGATTTCCTGGTGAAACTTGGAGATATTTCAATGGTTTCAATAAATCACATTCCAGTCCTTCCTTTTTTTCCAGCCATCAGACAGGTTTTAATATATTTTGCCTCACGTTCTACACAAGCGATTTATTTGATTGCGATAACGTTTTCATTTTTTTCCCATCACCTAAATATTAACTTTTAAGATTTAAAACTTCAAAAAGTTTTAGGCGAGTTTAAAACTAATCGATGAAGTTTCATAAAGTTTTTGTTTCAATCCATTTTGTTTGAAAGTCATTGTATCTTTTCGCGAATGTTTTTCCCTCGAGGATTACGGGTTGTTTCTCTCTCTCCTATAGAGATACTAATAATTTTAAAAATTTTAAGCTTTCAGACAGTTTTATCATCAAGATTATTCGCTCATAATGTTTTGTTATACAATTGTAACTTATATAAGCTTTTTTTAAAGGAATTCACATGTTAGTATACATCATGAATAAAATAATGCGTTTAATAGTGAAAAAATATTCCGCTTAATTAATGAAGAGATAAAAATAATGTGCTTAAAATAATTACAAATTTGTTAATCATTTATTTTGTAGTTTTTGGAAGGATTTCTATGAATGCTTTGTTCTTGCACACAAACTGCACAAGGCCCCCCCCCCCCCAAAAAAAATAATGCAATTGGTGGTGGTGGTGCAGTCGGCTTCGTAAATGCTCTGAGTTTGTTGCACTCGGTTTTTTCATAGGAAGAATAAAAAGAACCTCGAATATTTCTGTATTTTAAACTTTAGTTATATTAACGCTTTACCAATTGGCAGCCTATAGGTCAATTAACGAATGAATTCAACTTAGAATTAATATCACGAAGAAAAAATTAATTTATGAAACCTAATTATTATATAATAGAAAGCTGTAAATTCTTTGTGAGCATACAAAAAGCACATATACTTCCGCGCGACAGTCGAACAGAAAGAGAGAAATTAACACCAGAGAATTCGTGCAGTTGCTATTGGTCAGATAAGTGTAAAATCTATTCCAATATAATTTAACCACTTTACTGATCAGTCATAATTGTAGATTTCGTAAACAATAGAATCAGTATTCCAATGCAGTTACTGCAGTAACTCTATAAGATTTCGGACAAGTTATTTTTATATGTCAGAGCAAGCCCTTAATTATGAAATAACAAAAATTACTTAAATGGAAATTTTATATTCAGAATGAGCTGATGTGACTTGAGTGGACAATAATTTCGGCATTGTTGAAATTGAATTTATGCCCCCAATTGAATTTACCATCACAACAATGTGTAGCAATTGATAATGAATCGCGTATTCTTGATAACGGACATCTTCTTCTTTAACTTTAAATTGCAATTTAATCAAGTAATGAACGAATTTATTTACCGATTCTTATGAAAAGGCGAGACTTTAGAAGGAATAGAAGCAAATTTTCCGAAAATAAAAATTTTAATATTAATTATACAATAAATCTTTTCAGTGCCATTAAACTTCAAAAAGAGGAAAACAAAATGTTTATTCAAAATAAAGAAGAAACTGTAAATGGAAAAAAAATCGTTTTAATGGACAAACAGCAAGAAATTTAAAAAAAAAATCGTTATTTACAAATAAAAGACAAAGCGTCTAGCATAAATGTATAAGGAAATGAGGTAATTATCGTATCAAAAGTCCTTTTAATATTCTTCTGTTGTAAAAAGCTTATGAAATTCTGGGATGAGCACAAATTTCGACTTTATCGAAATAAAAGAACAAGCTTGTTCCATCCTCCTTTTTCGTTGGAGCTTTGGTCAAACGAAAGTTCTTCAAGATGGTTGTTAGGAAGAGAAATGTTTGAATCATTGAATAGCCTTCTCCCATACAAGCTCGCTTTCCTAAAACGAGAACTATATTAATTAAACACATAGAATGAAAAAAAAAATTTTTTTGAAGGGGAACACAAGGTTCTTTTAAGAAAATACTTCGGATAGTTATATATATATAATTCGAATAAATACTAAATTTAAATGTAAGGATAAACGATGATTNTTTTTTTTTCGTAAGTTGTAAAACAAACACAAAATATACTGGGGACATGAAAATGACTGTTTTTGTGAGAATGACCCATATATAATTCGAATAAATACTAAATTTAAAGGTAAGGATAATCGTTGATTAATCTGTCAATCACTCATTAGTGCTAATTCTTTTTTAAATTCCCCTCTTTGAAAGGCTACTAACTATATTTATAAAATTAAATGTTTAACTTGCGATGAAATATATATTACCCAAACCTCCCAACCTTTTCACAAAATAATTAATTTACATACCTTTTCACAATTTAATCATTAACAAATAAATATAACTCTAATAATAATAACAATATGCTTGAAATTAAACATTTTTCAAAACACGGGTTCAATAACATTTCAATAGAAGTTTTGGATATCTATAAAAACCCTAAAAAATGTCTTAAAGCTGAGGATAAATATATGATTATTAATGAGTCTATTTATAAATGCAATCTGAACAGCAATTTCAGTTTTAAATCTTCTAATAATAATGAGTGTATTTATAATCATTTTAAACTTCTTAAAAATTACAATAATAATAAGAGGGAAAAGAGGCAATAACAAAAATAAAATTAAATATAACTTAAAAGATTTTGCTAATGAATGCATTAATTGTTATGGATCAACCTAACGCAATTAAATCTATTAAGACTAAGATTTTGGGGATTAAGCTTAATTTTCATAACAAACTTGTAAATTTTTGAAATTAGATTAAATAAAAATTAATTCAAAACAGGATATTTCAAATTTTTTAAACTTAGTTGAAGACCTAGCTAGATATAGACTTAAAAATAATTATAAGAGCAAAAATATACCCAAACCAGACTATTTAGTTATAAATTTTACTAATAAAATTTTTAATAATCTTAACTTAAATACAATTCTTAGTAAAAATAAACACCGTTTTCCTATTTAACTAAATTGTAAACCCACTTTTAGATACACAAAATGCTTAAAAAATTTAATTTGCAGTTATAGGGATTTAGCTGCAGATAATTTGAACTATCTTTGTGATGAATATAAAGATTTTTTTTTGTTGATACATTCCACAATCATGTTGTTACCGGAGATTTAGATATTATTGATAATATTAAACAATTTATGTCTTCAGGTTCTAAATTTAGACCGTCTTTTCCAACTTCTAAGAATAAGGTAATTTATATTTTTATTAATAATCTTGATTGTTCGCTTTATTCTGAAATTATCTTACTTGGTTTATTTTAAAATCTGTTCTTGGTTTATTTCAAAATTATCTTACACACATGATTTCCCAATTAAAGGTTTTTTTGAATGGAGAGAAAATATCATTAAAACTTTAAAATTAATCTAAAAAGCAACAAATTAGTTTTTCATTAAGATTTAAATTTTAACTCTATACTAAAACAAGATATTGCAAAAATTCAAAATAAATTTTGTATTACCACCGTTGATAAAGCTAGTAATATTTTTGCTATTGTTTGAAAATTTTTTTATAAACAACATTTTTCTTATGAACTTAACAGGAATATAACATACAAAAAACTCAACACCAACAGTGATATTATTATTAATAAAACTAATGCTACGTATAACAGACTCAAAATTAAATCAAATAATATTAATGAATTTCCTTTTCTTTTTGCTAATCGAAAAGTCCATAAAACCCAAACCAAATTCAGGTTTATTGCTAGTGGCGTAAATAGTAACATGAAAAAATCGGGATTTACTTAGAAAATATTCTTAAAAAATTATACAATAAAATTACTATGCATACTAAACATAATAATCACCTAAATTAGAATATTAAAAATAGTATTACAGGTTTTAAATACACTAAAAACTTCAAATAATGTTTATTATCTACACTGGTTTTGATTTCGAAAACTTGACTTCCTTTCGAACTAATAAAATTCTTGATGACCTTCTTCAAATTCATAGCATGTTTTATCTCAGTGATATTATTGATGAAGAGAACTAGAAATTTCTAGTTCATATTAACCTTAACAACAATTATATATTATTTAATGACTGCCTTTTTCAACAAATGAATGGTATTCATATGGGAAATAATTTTAGCGCTAATATTTGCAATATTTTCCTTTTTCTACAAGAATACAGATTTGTGAAATCATATGTTAATCTTCCTATTTATTCCTTCTTTCTCAGATTTATTGATGATCTTTTAGTTATTAATTTCAAAGATTTGATATTTTAGCTAAACAAATATATCCGAGAGAATTAACCTTTATATCTAATAACATAAAGAGTGTGCGTCTGTATACCGGATTCCGGGAAAACGGTAGACTCTAAGATTCCGAAATTTAAACGAATACTACTATACTAAATGAATACTACTGGAATGAATACTACTGCAAACATTTCACGAAGCCCGATTTTCGATTTTTAAATTCAGAGACATTTTAGACATTTTAGACATTTAAATTCAGAGACATTTTTCTACAGTTAATCTTTATTTTGATAGGATGAACTATTAAAAAAGTATTTTGCTTAATCTAATAATGTAAAGTAGCCGAGAAAAACAACAAATAATAATGAATAAACAAGAAACATTAGAATCATTGTAACTTAATTATTTGTGTAGGCATTTGTATGAGTTTTTTGCACGATTTTCATGTGGTGTTCAGTACTGATTAATTGATTTTCAATCCGTACGAAGAACGGGTATTCAGCTAGTTCTTATTAAAACTAATAGTAGTAATTCTTTAGCAAATTTTTCAGATTTAACTCTTAATGGAGATAGCAAAATTACACTTAAACTTTTTGACAAAAGAAATGATTTTAACTTTCAAATTAAAAAGAGCATTGATTTTAATTCTAATTAGTCAATAAGGTTTTTTCCAATCAGATTCATAGGCTTTACAGAAATAATTCAAACAAATAAGAGTTTCTAAAAGAAACTGCCAAATATAAGACATATTTAATTGATAGCCATTTTCCTAGTTCATTTCTTCAATTTCATTATAAATAACTTAGAACATTAATTTTTTATTATTTAATTTTTCTGTTTTCAGAATTAGCTCTGATTTATTTTTAAGGAAGGAACTAACTATGATAAGCTATTCCCAAAGAACTTTTATACTGGATGACCTTTAGGATGACCAGTATGACCTGCATGACCTTTTATACTGGATTAGTAAAAATTTTTAAGTAAACTTCTAAATAAATTCTAGTTTTTTTTAAAAAACTTTAATTATTTAACTTTATTTGTCCAGCATAATAAACAGTTTTTTTTATTTTTTACTGATACTGTTTTTTTTCTTTTGTAAGAATTGAATGGGCTTTGGTTTATGAACAGCCACCCCCGATGAATGCAGGTAATACGTGTAGACTTTAAGACTATGAAATGATGTATGAATGAAGGATAAAGTCTATAAACGGTTTTCTATCCATGCAGGCCGGCTCTGACTTATAAACAGTCACCCTATGAACGATGGGATGCCAATTACATGGTTTATTCCAAATTTAAGCTTGTTATTTAAACTACATTTTGAACTATTTTAAATGTCTTTTTTTATTTAAAAATTTAAATTCTTAAAATTAATTTTATTATTTTTATTTCTTATTTATTTTTTTATTTTATATCATTAATTAAATTATCTTCCAATTAAGGGTTTTGTAAAATAAATTTTCCAAATAATTTTTATAACTAGATTAATCTCATAGATGGTAGCACTGAACTGTTATTTACTTCATATTTTTCGGTACGATTTTAGCTATAAGCACAGTTTTTTATTCTTTTCTTCTTCGCGAAATTCTGTTAACTGTTAAATTAGCCTATCTATTTTTAAGACATTTTTCACGTTTGCTACACGTCAGTAAGTTTGTTTCCTGCTTTCTTTTATTTCATATTCATTTTCAACTGCATTTTTATTTTTTAGCGATATAGACACGTAATGAAGAGAAATTTTTATTTTTGTATAATTATTCTTCATTTAGAAATATCGCATTTATTGTAAGGGATGTGTCCTAATGAAGACTTTTACATTTTCCATTCATAATTTGAACTATCTTTGTGATGAATATAAAGATTTTTTTTTTGATACATTCCACAATCATGTTGTTACCGGAGATTTAGATATTATTGATAATATTAAACAATTTATGTCTTCAGGTTCTAAATTTAGACCGTCTTTTCCAACTTCTAAGAATAAGGTAATTTATATTTTTATTAATAATCTTGATTGTTCGCTTTATTCTGAAATTATCTTACTTGGTTTATTTTAAAATCTGTTCTTGGTTTATTTCAAAATTATCTTACACACATGATTTCCCAATTAAAGGTTTNAAAACAATAAGTTTTATTTATTGCGCATGAGCTGCAAGTAAATAGAACTCATAAAATAAGTTCAAAATGTGGACGAAAAAACAAGGGAAAAATTATAGAACAATGAAAGAAGGGGAAAAAAATAATAATAAAAATAACAAGAAATCGGAAGGAAAAAAATCCGAAAAAAAGGACAAAATTTTTAAAAAATCCGGAAAATCATGGAAAAGTTATATAAATTAACGAAGAATATAATAAATTTAACAATAAATTTCTTTGTTAATTTATATAATTTTTCCATGTGCAAAACCATTTCGGGCAAATCCGTGGCTGAAATTATGTGCAAAACAGGCAATTCATGTTTCTTTCTCTTTTTTATTTTATAATTTTTTTCTTAAATAAATATTTATTTTCAATAATTATCAATTGACAACTTCTTTAATTTATCCAGTTTAATATTACCTTGCACACATCCATTTCGGGCCCAACCTTGGTAACTAACAAATCTAACGCTCTTCAGTAATGCAGTAAGAACGCACTTTAATACAAAAATCCTCTA